ACTCTAACTCTAACTCTAACCTAACCTAACCTAACCTAACCGAATCCATTATTTTCGACCTAACCAAAACTTAGAAAAATACTGGAACTAACCAAAAGTTCCCAATTTTTAGTGGAACTAACTAAAAGTTCCCAGTTTTTAGTGGAACTAATAAAAAAAAATCCCCAATTTTCTAGTGGATGTAACCAAGAATCCTCTAATTTCTAGTGGATGTAACCAAAAGTCCCCAAATTTCCAGTGGAACTTATCAAAAGTCCCCATTTTTTCTAGTGAAACTAACCAAAAGTCCCTGAATTCCTAGTGAAACTTACCAAAAGTTCTCAATTTTCTAGTTGAACTATCAAAAGTCTCCATTTTTTTTTTTTTCTCTTGGAACTAACCAAAAGTCTCCAATTTTCTAGTGCTACTAATCAAAAGTCCCCAAATTTCTATTGGAACTTACCAAGTCTCCAATTTTCTAGTGGAACTATCCAAAATCCCTATTTTTTTTTCTCTCTTGGAACTAACAAAAAAAAATATCCCCTATTTTTCTCCAGTGGAACTAACCAAAAGTCCCCAGTTTTTGCGATATAATCCAAATTCCCCAAATTTTCCAGACAACTCAAACTCCCCAAATTTTGATATACGTCTATAGTTCGTTTTGTCGTTTTCCTCGTTTTTCTTTCATTTTTTTTAGGGGTGTGGGACTTAGAAAAATTTTTGAAAAAAAAAAATTAGAATTCTTAAAGTTGGTCCTACATGCCTATTCCGACTCTTTACGTCGACTAGTCACTTTTTCATTTTTGAGTGGGATTTCGAAAAATTTCAAATTTTTGAAAAATCAAAATTAATTTTCGTGGATGTGGGTATCTACGTATCTCGACGAGTGGAACAACTTTTTTTCTCATGACCACCCCCCTCCGGTGCCCCCCCACCCCTCAAACGACGCTTTTATCGTTTTCTCAATTTTCCAAAGTCCACAGCCTAAACGGTGACAGATACGACAAAATTATATTGAACATTTTCGTCTTCTCTCAGGGCTGTTATATGGGAAAAATGCGAAACTTTTGAAATTCCGACATTTTTATTTTTTTTTTGTGACTTCAGAGCCCTCTATCTACGAAACCGTGAATCCTAGGGCAAAATTGTATAGCATCTTTTGTGTTTGTTCCGTCGAGATCTATGAGATAGCACCCTTGAAATTTTTAATTTCCGACATTTTTGATCCCATCCCCACCTAAAGAAAAAAAAGTCCCCTGGCCAAGGGGGGGGCGGGAGAAGGTGATACCAGGGGAAAGTAGACCCAAGTGCGTACTATATGGAAAAAATCTAATCTCAAATTCGCAAGTTGTACTAATCCCTATACCCTAGCTATATAGTGATTTCAGTCTACGAACGAGCCGACAGACTAGCTAATTAGGCTATTGTCTCTGGCAGAGATACGCATTTGATGATCCCATTTTTTGAATTTTCAAATCTATGTAACCAACAGATGTACAGTGAATTGTTTGGGTGTTCTAGCAATGAGTCGTTTACTCGCAATATAGAATATTGTAACAATTATTTGGTGAATTCCAAATATATTTGGTTCAGGTAATTTCAAATAAAGAGAAAATCGCAACTATTAATAGAATTAGATCGGGCCATACATCCTTGAGGGAAAGTCTTTTCCTCTTCGTCATAGTGAATTCTCCATTGTGTGTTAATTGCGACATATGTGAAACTCCAAATCATGCCTTTTGGGAATGTAATGGTTTTACGAAACAGAGAGTATTGCAAAATGCCTTGGTCAGGACTAGAGGCCTCCTCCCTCATCCGGTCGAATATCTTATGGCTACAATTGAGGAGCATACAATTTATATCTTAAACGCATTTATCTGCTCTATTAATAAGTTTATTTAGTATTATAATTTTCTTTCTTTTATTTATTATTAATTTAATTCAATTTAAGTCAACACGGCAACATATAATACTTATTATTTTATTTTATGTTATCTTTTATTTTAAGTTATTACAGGTTGTTATTACATTTTTAATAGCTATTAAGAAAAGGTATTTTTCATAAATGTCTGCCGTTTTAAATTAATTTTTATGGATTCGCTTCAGTAGCTGTCAATCTAGCTTATCTATGTTTTTGTATATTATTACGGTGTGAAGTGTAAAAAAAAAAAAAAATTATTTTTATGATCTTTAGTTATTAGGTTGGTGCATATGCAATGTCGGATTTTTAAGTGAATATATAAAACTGCATCTTTTTTCAAAAGCTGTTTATTTAATCAAAATATGCTCCATTTGTTTCAATACACTTTTCTTAACGAGATTTTAATGCATAGATGCCTGTCTTAAAGAAATTTTGATCTTTAGAATCAATAAACTCTGATATGGAATTTTTCAGTCTTCATTTTCTGTCCTCATTTTCATACTGTTTAGTCCGTAAAAATTGTTCTAAATGTTTAAAAAAAAAAAAAAAAAATGAAAGTTGGTTGGCGAAAAATCCGGTGAAGGATAAGTTGGGTGCTGCAAAATTTCATATTTTATTTAATTCATTTAATTTCGCAATTTTTTTGTACGACGTATGCGGCCGAGCGTTGTTGCGGAGAAGTATTGGGTCATGCCGATTAACAAGTGATGGGCGTATAATTTTCAATTTTTCATGCATTTCATCAATGTACTGGCAGTACTTTTCGGCTGTCTCTCCAGTTCGAAGGAATGAGTAATGAATTACTCCAGTCACATTCCATCAAACTGTTATTAAAATTTTCCGTGGATGATGTGATGACCTTGGAGTATGACACAAGCCTCATTCCTATCAAGCCACCGAGCCTACCTTTTCTTATTGTCGTAAAGAACCCATTCTTCATCACAAATAATAATCCGATCGAAAAATGGCTCTCGATGAAATCGGATTAGTAATGATGAGCATACGTTCAATCGATCCAGCTTATTTCGCTCGATTAGTTCGTGCGGTACCCATTTATCCATTTTTTTCACCTTGCCAATTT